GATGGAAATTTGCAAATTTATATTAATGGTAGGAATTTTTTTTACATTATACCTTTGTGCAGAGACATTAAAGTCTCAAAACTTCTTCCAAAACTTTTTTCTTAGTTTATAGTTCAATTATTTATAAATAATATTTTGACTCACTTTTTTTAAGTCCTGTATTTTTTATCTATTTTTTGACAAGTTATATTATAAACAGTAAAAAAAACTTTTATAATTTATCGAAAAGCATTTATGTAGTAACTACAAACAATATTTATTGGTATTTAAAGATCAGGAAGGAAACATGATTTAGGCTAATGAAAGCTGGTTCTGAGAAAAACAAATTTTCAGTTTGAGAATTTTCAGGAGCAAGCATTGGAATGAAATCGTAAAAACAAAAATGTCACAAACTCGAATGTCACAAACCTTCATTTACATCCCTTAAAAATTTCAAAACAAAATTCACAATTTTCGTTGTCGAGAAAAAAATAACATTTGAGAATCGGGTAGGACAAAAACCGTTTTTTCCTCAAAATTCTTCCCCAATCTTCAATAGAACTTCTTCATTTGTCATCCCGTCGTCGTCTTCAGTATTATAAGATATTATGTGCTCATGCGCATCGTATTTTATGATAAATAATTTACTTATATGTCAGTTACTAGATGGCAACGAGTAGAATTTTGTGGTTGCCATGGTGATAGTTTTGGAATGTAGATAGTTTTTTGAGTGAGTGTAAGTTTTCTTTGGAATGACGATGCTGCAATTTTGTTGAGTTAATAAATCCTCCCTTTTATTAAACGTAATAGCAGAATTTTCTTAACTATTTGATTCGAAGTTTGACAAATAGTCAGGCGATAACAGCGATAAATTCAATTAAAAATATTAAATAAGCGATTAGCTCATCCTCTAGCTAGTAGTTAACCGTAGTGCCGATTCGTAGCGCTGAACCATTTGGTTAAAAGTTTAACCATTTTGTCCCGCATTGAAACGAAAAAAAAGGGTTGCTTTTTTACACGGACTAGCATCAGAATGGAAACTATATCTCCGTTGTGGCAAGTTAGCTAAGTCCGTTAGCGTAGGTCCCGTAACAGTTAAGTTACGGATCTAGTTCAGCCTCGGTGATAGCAAATAATCGCAACAAAAATGGATGCAACTAAAAGACCATTGACTTTTTCAAAAGATTTTTTTGCGTATGCTGAGAACAAGAAAATTTTAGATTTGTTTCAGGTATTTTTCGTTTTCTTTCAGATTTAAATTTAAACTGATTTAAGTCAAAGAAAAAAGGTTTAAGTGACAAATGAGTGAAACATCATTTGTTCAAATAAGCCCTTCATAGATGATCATTTGAATATTTTCTTAATTTTGGAAGAATTCTATTATTATTTTTTTTTAAGAAACTGCTTGATTCTTTGTCTTCAGAAAACAGTGAAGTTGTGTAGTGCAGCTTAGCGTTTTTAATAAGCGATTATTTTTCTAAATTTAGACTTATTTCTTTAACGCTAGAGGAATCTTTAAAAGTTATTTGTATCAGGCTTAAGATAGTTTAATTCTAGCTATTTTTCTCCTTGGACTTAAAATACTTGGTTATAATTTTGGCGTAGGTAAATTTGTATTCATTTTAGTTTTTCTAATTTTTTCTTATTTTATTTATTAAAATTCGAAAAAAGTTGGAAATGTATGATATACAAATTTTTACATGTCTTCAAAAATGTAATTTTACATGGCAAATTACAAATTTTGAACGAAATAAGTTAAACATTTTCTTAGAAGTCAAATTTTAAATATCTTAAAGAAAGTGTACTTAACATAAAAGGTCCAAATTTTCGGCCGCTGTCCTGACCAAACAATTTGTACCATATTTCCCAGATTGCTACTATACCCCATATTTAAGGGGCAAGAAATCCGAATCTTGCAACAGCAAAAAGTATGTTTGTTCAGAGAAAGTACGTTTTTATGTCTGGTTTAACTTAAAATATCGTCTGCACTAATAAATTAGCCCATTTCAGCCCCCCCCCTTCTCCTCTGACCATTTAGATTGAATCTTACTGAGTTAAAATCCAATAACTTAAGGAAAAGTTATTAAGGGTGTTTCATTTTTATCTTTCACACTGCACAGTTTGTTTTAACTCCTAAAAAAATTACAATTTCGTTTAAATATAGTTTCTATAAAAGAAGAATTCCCCATGCATTCGTCTAGACCATAGAGTCTATGGTCTAGACGAATTTTTTTTACATTATGCCTTTGTGCAGAGACATTAAAGTCTCAAAACTTCTTCCAAAACTTTTTTCTTAGTTTATAGTTCAATTATTTATAAATATTATTTTGACTCACTTTTTTTAAGTCCTGTATTTTTTATTTATTTTTTGACAAGTTATATTATAAACAGTAAAAAAAAAAACTTTTATAATTTAGCGAAAAGCATTTATGTAGTAATTACAAACAATATTTATTTGTATTTAAAGATCAGGAAGGAAACATGATTTAGGCTAATGAAAGCTGGTTCTGAGAAAAACAAATTTTCAGTTTGAGAATTTCAGGAGCAAGCACTGGAATGAAATCGTAGAAATAAAAATGTCACAAAATTGGAATGTCACAAACCTTCATTTACATCCCCTAAAAATTTCAAAGCAAAATTTACAATTTTTGATGTCGAGAAAAAAGTAACATTTGAAAATCGGGTAGGACAAAAACCGTTTTTTCCTCAAAATTCTTCCCCGATCTTCAATAGAACTTCTTCATTAGTCTTCCCGTCGTCGTCTTCAGTATTATAAGATATTATGTGCTCATGCGCATCGTATTTTATGATAAATAATTTACTTATATGTCAGTTACTAGATGGCAACGAGTAGAATTTTGTTGTGGTTGCCATGGTGATAGTTTTGGAATGTCGATAGTTTTTTGAGTGAGTGTAAGTTTTCTTTGGAATTACGATGCCGCAATTTTGTTGGGTTAATAAATCCTCCTTTTTATTAAACGTAAAAGCGGAGTTTTCTTAATTATTTGATTCGAAGTTTGACAAATAGCCAGGTGATAACAGCGATAAATTCTATTAAAAATATTAAATAAGCGATTAGCTTATCCTCTAGCAAGTAGTTAACCGTAGTGCCGATTCGTAGCGCTGAACCATTTGGTTAAAAGTGTAACCAATTTATCCCGCATTGAAACGGAAAAAAAAGTGTTGCTTATTTACACGGACTAGCATCAGAATGGAAACTATATCTCCGTGGTGGCAAGTCAGCTAAGTCCGTTAGCGTAGGTCCCGTAACAGTTAAGTTACGGATCTAGTTCAGCCTCGGTGATAGCAAATAATCGCAACAAAAATGGATGCAACTAAAAGACCATTGACTTTTTCAAAAGATTTTTTTGCGTATGCTGAGAACAAGAAAATTTTAGATTTGTTTCAGGTATTTTTCGTTTGCTTTCAAATTTAAATTTAAACTGATTTAAGTCAAAGAAAAAAGGTTTAAGTGACAAATGAGTGAAACATCATTTGTTCAAATAAGCCCTTCATATATGATCATTTGAATATTTTCTTAATTTTGGAAGAATTCTATTATTATTTCTTTTTTAAAAAACTGCTTGATTCTTTGTCTTTAGAAAACAGTGAAGTTGTGTAGTGCAGCTTAGCGTTTTTAATAAGTGATTATTTTTCTAAATTTAGACTTATTTCTTTAACGCTAGAGGAATCTTTAAAAGTTATTTGTATCAGGCTTAAGATAGTTTAATTCTAGCTATTTTTCTCCTTGGACTTAAAATACTTGGTTATAATTTTGGAGTTGGTAAATTTGTATTCATTTTTAATCTTGTATCTAGTAGTTTCTGCATTTTGAAGGGGGTTTTAAAAAGATCGCCAAGCTATTATCGACACCAGAGAAGATAATTATTTGTGATAATAGGTACTACCGGTATAGATTCTATAGGTATTGAGGTATTTCCTCCCGAAATGGAATAATACCGATTTTACTAAGCAGTTACACCATTTTAAAATAGTAAGCTAAGGTCATTATTTGTGATTTCCGGTATGACAATGTTAGCCTTCGAAATATTAAAAAGATATTTGCTTCTTTTTTTTTCAGAAAAAAATGATAGCGTAAGCATTTGTATCGCATTTATTAATATTTGTTTTACAAAAGCAAGATAATCGTGCGCAGCATAATTCAGAGTGTCTTCATAAGCGCAAAGTTCTAATTTTTCTTTTGATGATGAAGTTTTTATCATGGTTTGACATAATTGTTAATTTATCTATGTTTTCCCCCTAAACACTTTTCGTCACCAAGAACAATCAACACACATAAACATAAACAATCATAACGTAAACAATCGAATTGGCAAGTGTTAGTCACAACATAGCTGACTCTAAATGAAGAAAGTAGCAAGTTTGGAACATCTAAACACTTTTTTTTTCTTTATATAACTTTTGGGAGTTTTCAGCTAGCCGGGTGCATGCGAAAAAATCACCCAAAAATGTTGAATTCCGTCAACATTTTAATTTTTAACTATTTATTATTTCTTTATTTTGTTTATTATTTCAAACACTGAACATGATGGACGTTAATAAAAAAATTAAACAAAATAAGAGAATAAAAAAAATAATTTTAAATTTCCGAAATTGAATCAAAAAATTCCAAATTTTGGGATTCTTAATTAAACAGGCAGGGAAAATTTTCAGAGACTTGTACTGTGTTAAGCTGTGTAAAAAGTAAATTAATTATAGTTTTTCTTGAAATTGTTAATTTAAAAGCTAAATAAAAATTTCAGTGATATTATAAATTCGGGAACTGAGCTTTTGAAAAGTGCTTAAAAATACATAAAGTTATATTAGAAAGTGTATTGTCCAGTAATAGCTATATTTTCGCTAGTTAAGTCTAGCCTCTGTAAAAAAATCCTTTGTGCATGCGAGGTCCTCAATAAGAAAGCCAAAAGATCAACGTAGGGACAACATATAGAGAATATCGGCCGATCATACCGAATTTAAACTTACAAAAAATCAGTGTAGAGAATGCCAAGAAATGTAATTAATATACATTTTGTTCCGTTTACCAATTGCGTTGCTAATCAATAATAATCGCAGGTTATTACTAATAATCACCACAAATTTTTTTTAATAATTGGTCATTGGCAGATATTCTTTATACAAATCTTTTTTTTTACGCTGAGAGTTATCGCCTAGTTTTTCTGCTCTAACATTTGTAGAGGTTAAGAACCTTAACCCTACGCTCTCTTTCAAAGTTTAGAGTCTTTGCCTTACATTCCCAATAATGGTGTTTTAGAATATCATTTTAATTGTTATAATTTTGTTAGGTCAAGGGTCATTCTTCGATCCCCGACATTCTCTATACTGAAAATAATTTCTATGCATGTTCTTCTAACATCACTTAAGTCAGGGCTTGCAAACGTTTTTCATTTTTGGTAACAAATTTGATGGAAAAAAATCAATTAAAGCTTGTTAATTTTCTAATAAAAACTAAACTGATCACTTAATAACGTATTCGTTTAAAAAGAATAACTGCTTTAAGACTTATTCTCTTAATATGTTTAACGCTTTACTCCTTATGATTTTTTAAGAATTCATAACATATAATGACTTATTCGTCTACAAAAATAACTATTTTAAGACATACTTTCTTAAATATGCCTAATGCTTTACTCCTTTTGGTTTTCAAAGAATTCATAACATATAATTACATATTAATCTAAAAGGAATTACTATTTTAAGACTTATTCTTTTAATATGTGTAATGCTTTACTCCTTTTGGTTTTTAAGGAATTCATAAGATATAATAACACGTTTGTCTGAAAAGAAAAACTATTTTAAGACTTACTATTTCAATATGACTAATGCTTTACTGCTTCAAGTTCTTAAAGAATTCATGAGAGTATGCTTAAAGGAAGAGGCTACAAAATAATGATTAAGGAAAAGAAGCTTTCAAAAGGCAATTTTATCTGTTCTAAAAATGAAATCAAAAATTTTAACTAGAGAGTTCGAAAAGTCTATCACTCTCCTGTGCTACAATCTAGTAAAAAACATGACAGTTATATGACAAATTTACATCATCTAGTGCAACAATTTTCTGGTGAAATATTTAATTTTTTTTTCTTTTAGAATATGTTCGAGAAGTTAACAATTGATCGCCCGGAAAATCCTGCATCTTATTTAAGAGATTTTTTATTGAAAGGAGGAGGCTGTAAAGGTAGAACTAATTTAATTAGATTCTTATACAAAATAACTCTAACGCATTAAATTAATTCAATCATAGAGAAAAACTTACAAATTAGGACCTAGGAGCCCAGGTGGTTCAGGAGACAGAGCGCCCGCCTTCAAATGAGGAGAACCGGTTCCAAATCCCAGCGATGACTGGTTGATTCGAATTCCGCACCCGGCTTGCACCGACCACAGTGTTGACGTAAAATACCCTCAGTGGTAGACAGATCATGGGTTAGAATCCCTTTCCCGTCAGGTTAATCATGGGAGGTTTTCCTCTCCGTTCAACGCAGCAAATTTCACGAAGGAAAATTTTTCCTAAGACCGATTCGGGAGTTCCCTTGTCTTCTAGATTAGATTCAAAATTTCACGGTTACGGAGTTGAACATAATTTTAAATTTAAATATTGTTGCCTGAGCAGATTACAAAAACCTTACATTTTTATTTCCTTCCTTTTTTTCGTTAAATGATTTTTTATACCATTGTCCTGTTTAGTGTAGTTTATATTTGTAAATTGGATCAAAATTCATTTTAATCTTTTTTATCACCCCATTAGTGCCAAACGTTTATGTGCTTGGTCCTCCAGGAGCCAATAGAAAATTGGTTTGCACCACATTGGCCAATCACTTGAAGTTAATCTACATTACAACTGGAAGTTTGATAAAGGATCTAGAGAGTAATAGCGGAAGGAAGTATTCAGTAAGTTTGGAAAGGTTTTCAGTAAAAATCGGAAGGATTTCTTTTAAAATAATTTTTACTATTAAATTAATTTATTTCTATACAGTTTATTTATTTAAATTACTGAGGTTATTTGCTCAAGGTTATTTGTTTATTTATTTATTTTCTTTCGAAAATTAATTTTAGTCTTTTAGATTATTTGTTTTATTTTATTACTGCCATTTAACAGCCGACGCAGTTTTGGGTTTACGAGTACAAATGTCCAATTCCGTTGCCTTGTAACTTTGAACCCAATCCAGAAGACAAGGGAACTCCTGGATTAAGTACCTTCCGGGAAGGGGACTCTAACTCAATAACCATCTACCACTGAGGATATTTTTACATCAACACTTCGGTAGCTGCGAGTTGGATTCGGAATTCGTATTGACCAGACATCGTAGTGATTCGAACCCGGTTCGTTCACCGCCTAGGAAGGCAAACGTTCTATCTCCTGTCCCATCACGACTCTAGATTATTTACTTATAATATTCTAGTTGCTTTCATTTTCAGAAGAAAAAAAGAAAATGCAAAATATTCTTTCATTCTGGGTTAAAAAATTGTAAGTGTCCCTGCCGCTGAAGTTTTGGGTCTTAAACTTAACATTAAATTTTTTTTACTAAGCAAAAACTATAAAAATCAGAAACTTAAAGATTGCAGATGCTAAGAAAATTTACAAATTAAGCAATGGAATAAAAATTTTAACATTCGGCTTCTCATTAATTCGAGAATTATTTACTATTAAATTTGTAGTAAAAAATACTACCCGGCTCAATCTGCCGCCCACAGTCATTTCATATGCATAGTTAAAGATAGGCGTTCTGAAAGAGCCATTTTTATCAGTGCACTCAACATTGAGTTTTTTTCGAAATTACAATTTGTTCAAAGGTTATTGATTAAGAAAGATGTTATTGACTTAACTTTCAAAGGTAACTGACTTCTTTTAATCGTCCTGTAAGTTAAAAAATACATACATTTTTGATTGATTATGTGATTTAGATGAATAATATGTAATTTTCGAAATTAAGTGTCACTAAAGTAAAGAAAGATCCCACATAGCACAGATTGTCACAGTGACATCATAATAAAGTCAAAAACGGCCCTAGCCGTCACAGTCACTGGTGTGACCGTTTTGAATTGTCTCCAAGTGGTTACTTTGATGTTACTCTATATTGTGATATCACATGAAAGTCTCCGTGATTATGTATTGTGACTTTCGACAAAGATATACTTTACGGTGACTAAAGTCATTTGAAGACTTTGTTGCCACTTTCTTGCAACTTTGATCCCTTGAAAATCACATGGAAACCATTTCATGACTTGTCTTACTAAAGTTCGAGAACCATTTTTTACGACTCATCTCATTTTGTTCTCATATTTACTTTTTATCGAATTTGATTTATTGAAGTCACGTGTGTCAAAAGTTATGATTCCACTCTAGACAGAACAGTCATTTAACCTTTTAATGGGCCCTTTATTTCTAGTAAAGGTAAATTAAAGTATTTTTGGAATTGAAATTGTTTTAAGAACAGTAATTGATATTTAAAAAAAAAATTTTAGTTTATACAAATGTCATTTTTTTGTGGTAAATATACTTAACATGACCCATTAGAAACTTACTGACTTTTATTTTTCTTTATTTACAAAATAAATTCCTTAAATGCTACGAACTTCAGAAGGAATTATGTATTTTATGACTTTTATCCGTTTTTTAAAAGTGACAAATGGTTACCAATTCTATTCAAACTCACTTCAAGAAAGTTATTGAAAAATGGAAACCTAAATTAAAAGTGGTAAAACGTGGTGATTAGTATACTTACCACGGCCTTCAAAAGGGTTAAATACATTTATAAGTCTTGTAAGCAGTTTTTTGCGACTACCACTACCAGAGACTACCAGTGTGTTTAGCACTACAACATTGCTCCCACCAGAGTTATAGCTGTGATAGAATACGATGAACGGGTACCACTGGTTGATTCATTGCTGTTTTGTGAGAAGCCGAGAGAGCTGTATTAAGATCACCGATCTTTTTGATGATCGTGTATACTATCGTGCATATCGTACACTAGTATACATCAGATGAAAGAAATAGATATCAGAATGTTTTTTGGTTACTTCAATATTTTTAGGTACCAAACACAATCATAGCGTTTTTATTTCGCGATACGCATTTCAATGTAATTTTCTTGACATATTATTGACAGTATTTATACTTGTTCATGTTTAGACAGCAAGTCGAGTTATGTAAATAGTTTGTATTGTTATATGATGACGCTTGTTTCAGAATATCTTTTCTCTGGCAGGATGAAATGGAGATATCTTATACAACTTGGGCTGACTTAATAAAGAGACGAGTTGAGAAAGCTGATTGCCTGCGAAATGGTTGGCTGATTGAAGGATTTCCTAAAACTAGGAGACAAGCATACACTCTTCGTAAAATTGGAATATTTCCAACTCATATTGGTGATTATTTTATTTATGTTTCAAACTTGAGTTTCTTACTACAGGAAAGGGAGTGTAGAAGAGTCCTTATAACCTTAAACACATTGAGAATAGAAGAGTTTTATCTTTGCTTCTGTAATGTAATAAAGTAATTATGCCAATCAAGGCAGATTGAATTTGGGTCGGACTGAGAGTGAGAGGAGCACTTGAAAAGGATCTAAAGAAAAAAATTAAACTTTCTGATTTTTCAGAAATCTTAATAAAATGTTATTGGATTTGTTATACACTACTTGATTTACATATTTTTTTAAAAAAAATTTCAAACATAATTTGAAAAGTGAAATATTTTACTTTCGGTTTTTAAACAATTTCTTTTTTTAATTGATGTAGTTAAAGTACCATTCCAAAGATTCTGCTTTATTGAAACAAATTTAAAAATTCCTTTTGCTTGTCCATAATGTTATCTTTAAAATGTATAATCGGAAACAAGTTTATTTTGTTTAGAATTATTCAGCTTAAAGAGAAAAAAAATATTTTTGAATTATGTGTCTTCTAAATGGTGAAGAAATATTGCTTAAAAGTTCAATTTTCATTTTGTGTTGACACATTTTCTTCCATTTTTTTAACCGTGAACTGAACCTTAGGGGGCCCTTAGCCTCAAACATTTTGCGGGGGGGGGGCAGTTTTATAACACAGACCCTGCACGTTCTATGTCTTTAGTATTATTCCTTCATCAAAATTCTAAAAAAATAATAAATAAATAAATAAAAGCTTATTAACAATGCTAAAAATTGAAGTAAGTTTCCCTATTTTTTAAAAAAAAAGAACTCACACTTTTAGGAACCTATTTATTGGCAACAAGTACAGCAATGTTTCAGCTATTTTTCAACATAGCCACCACCAGAATTGAGACACTTGTCGTATCGTGGGATCAACTTTTGTATCCCTCTGTCGTAGAACTCTACTGCCTGTGAATGGAACCAGCGTGTGCCGAAAAACCGGACACCCGAACACAAAATTGAACGCTTAGGACGCTGTCGGTACGAAAAGTGATGTGCACGGTGCTCTGGGACAGAAAGGGCATTCTGCTCATTGACTTCCATCCAAACAATAAACGCTGACCGTTACTGTGAAACACTGAAGAAATTGTGACGTGACATTCAAAACAAGAGTCGTGGAATGCTTACTGCAGGTGTTGTGCTTCTCCATGACGAAGAATGATCTTGCTCCCAGCGATTTTTACGCTTTCTTACACCTCAAGAAATTTCTTTCCTCCAGTGAGTGTTTTGGCAACGACGAAAGGCTGAAGACGCCTGTCACACGCTGGTTCCATTCACAGGTGATAGAGTTCTACGACAGTGGGATACATAAGTTGATCCCACTATGCGACAAGTGTCTCAATTCTGGTGGTGGCTATGTTGAAAAATACATTGCTGTACTTGTTGCCAATAAATAGGTTCCTGAAAGTGTGAGTTCCTTTTTTTAAAAAAATGGGGAAACTTACTTTCTGGATGAGCCTCATACTTGATCCAGGAGTTCCTTGTCTTCTGGATTGGGTTCAAAATTACAAGGCTACGTACTTGAACATTAGTAGTTCGAAACCCAAAAAAATAGGGTCGGCTGCTCGACGACTGTTATAAAATAAAATAATGCTAAAAAAGGAATAAATTACGATTAAAAGTAAGTTAAAGTTTTTCAGTGCTTTTTTCGTTATAAATTGACACGACATCCTAGGGCCACACATTCATAGGGGCCCAGGTGGGTGATCACAATTTTAGGTTCATAGCCAGTACGACCCTGTACTGCACCCTGTACTATTTAATGCATCACTTGGTAGTAATATTCGCAACTATCTCGTAAACAGTGCAAGGAAAAGAAAGTCAGTTACAAAATTGAAAAGTAGCATGTCGTAGATATTAATATCGAGAATTAAACTCTTAAAACAAGCATGAGTTTTGTTTACTTCTAAAACTGTGACGTTTTAATTTCGCTAAAATGTGACGTCTACAAAAATGAGTTGAAAAAAGCTTCTCTACAAAAAAGTGCTTATCAGTGTGATAATAAATAAAATTTGCATGAAAGCATGAAAAATAAAATATTTGTTTTTTTTTCATGACGTCATACATTTAGGGCAATTTAAAATAAAACTGGCGCACTTTTGCATAATCAATTCCTGTTCTGAAACCGAAATTCTGCAAAGATCAGAAGATTTTATCGATACATCCTTTTGCTTGTTTAAGATTACCTCTTAAAGTAATTGCGGATTTTAAGCAGGTTTGATACAGTTAAACGAAAAAATGCTAATTAGCAACCCATTCTTGGGTATCAACCCTGAAAAGAATCGAGCCCTGACAGTAAACCTTTTTACTCATGTGATCATTGACGTCAGAGAAAAATAAAAACAGAATAGTCGAGAAAGTGTAGGCTAAATATAATATCTCTTGAAGTAGCTTCATTTCATTTTGATACAATTCGTTTTTTTTTTTTCTAAGTTTAAAAGAAAAGGAAAGAAAAGAAAGGATATTCTTTTTTTTGCTTTGATTAATATTTGCGCCACCAGTTTTTATGCCAGATTGGTCTTACATCCATTATATTTCAACTGGTTGTTAATGAAAATAAAAACGTAAATAAGGACTTAATGTAAGCAAGAACCAATGAATAATAAGCACCAAGAATGTAGCTAAAACCATTATTAAAAGTTTAATGTTATACATTTAGAAAATGATACTATTCTAAATTATAGCATAAAGGTCTCATTTTAAGAATGGGGCAACTCCATCTATGCTTATTAGAGAGTCCTAAACACTAAAACAATGTATATAGTTTATTATCATACATCTATTTAATGTGTTTTTATATTTCAGGCATCTAAATTGCTTTCTTTACTTTTTCAGTTGTCATTGAAGATGCTGTTATTAACTACAAGGGTAATATTATTAATTACTGTTCCTCTTATTGAATATAAATTACAGTCTTTGCCCCTGTTCGCGGCTCTCACTACCTCCATGATTGCCTCACATTCATTGCTATTTTCTTCTTAAATGTATCGAAAATATCGGTTCGTCCCAAAATTCCTGCCGATTTTCCGTAGGCGGAGATCCCAAAGGTCTGTCAAAAATATTAAAGTGGTAGTGAAATTAAAACTAAACAATATGTTAGCTGTTTTTAAATCATTAAAGTTTCTTGATCACCACAAAGGTTTGGAAACTTATTGCATAGGTAGAAGTCTGATACATGCTAGATAAATCTTTAAGCTACCACAACGACTGCTTATATTCAAAATGTTTTTACCTCATTGTTGTAATTTCATGATGAATGGGATAGGGGCCGCTGCGCGGCCCAGGTGCCCAGTTGTTTTTAAATAAAGTAGATAAATCTTTAAGAGATTCCAACTCCCTCCGGACAACTGACATATATTTCCGAGTGGTAGTCTTTCAGTGAATGATTCTTGGCTTAGTAAATTTGATTCATAGGGTTTTTACTACTTCGAAATAATTCAAAGGCTTATGTGATACGCCCCTTTGTTACATTTAAGAAGTGTTGAGCATTTTAAAAAGTTGGTAAAATTAACCGAGAGTCTGAAAAACTCAGTTTGTTGTTCTTTACCGAGCCGACCGGTCTGTTTAGGGGTCAGGGAAACTGGCCTTGCATCAGATAGGTTTTGGGTTCAAATTCCGGACAATACATGGATGTTCTTTCATTCTCTGTACTATCTGTCCTTACTGTGGGAGCAACGTTGGCTCGCCTAACGTGGTGCTTCTAAGAAAGAATTCATCAAATCTGCCCTTCAGATGCCTGTAAAACGATAGTTATTCTCCAGGCAGGCATTGGAAGGAAAAGTACAGCTCTTCATTGCTTTTTAAAATATTTTGTCGTGTCCGAAGCAGTTGGCATCTCTTGAATCTTTAACTCCCAGAGACTAGAAATGACTATCGGTGATATCTGACTCTGGGGTTCTTCACCCCTAGCATTTAAACCCAACTTTCCTCTAAGATAGAAGAACGATAATAAGTACAAACTTTTAGTCTGCTACTGCTTCTGTTATTCTCTTACACTAATATACAACACACTGCTATTATTCCCGTCGCCCAAGGGTATCATCTCATACGATGACGTGGAGTATCCGTTCCGCGGACAGGAACATCTTACTCATTCTCAGTTTAAGTCTAAGATAAATGTTCACTAAATTGAAGTGGTTGTGAAATTAAGAAAACTTCAAACTGCTTTGATGAGTAGTTTGCTGTCACTTGAATGTTTATGACGGATCTTTGGGAACTCCAACTATAGAAAAGCACGAACGTATAAATTAACGATCTCCAGAAGGGTGAATAAATTTTCTTACAATAAACAAAAGTCAGGAAATCTAGTTAATTATAAGTGTTAACAAAAAAGTAAAACACAAAAAAATATTTCTTAAGAAAATAAATAATTAAATAATATACCCTGCTTTCAGGTGCTCAGTATGAAGAAGATCGAAAAGAATTATTGCAATATGCCGGGCAAAAATCTCTTATTTTGGACCTCCACAGAAGTAGTTACATGAAAAAATTCATAATCGGGAAGTACTCAGAAGCTCATACATCTCTCAATAAAGGTTAATCATAAATACATTCGATTTAAAAAATTAAACATAATTCTGTTTGAAAACAATTTGTTATACTATGAGAAGAGAGTTTTTTTACAAACTATATAACTATATACACACGCTATAACTATAATAAGACATCTTAGTTATATTCATTTGTTGTTTTTGTCCTGGCATATCTTGTTTGTAATATGAAGCAAAAAACTGGAAATTCTCGACTTTATTGAAAATTACTTTCTTGTGAAAACGATAAACCGACTCCAAATAAGGGTTAAGTTCTGTAAGTAAAAATTGACCTGTTTAAGTTTTGATTAGATTGTAAGCGCTGCCCTATGTTTTTCACTAGTCTGGTTGTGGTTGCTTATATTTAAAAATTCTTAACTCAGACTGATCGGGAGTACAATTTTTGCCATAATGGTTAGAGAATCGTTCTATAGCACCAGGGGACCTTGCTGATAACTAATGCCTTGATACTTAGATTAAAATAAGTATAATAACATTTTTTATGAAGCAATATGCATTAAATAGGTTTTTATGTGATTTATCACAAAATAAAATGATTTTTCAACGAAAAAAATTTCCAGAGAGTTAAAAACATTTTTTTGGTTCTCTACTAAAAATATTATATTCCGAAAATTATTAAAAGCAATTGAGCGAAAATTCCAAGCTTTATATGAAATAATCAGTGCTTCTTTAAAAAAAATTATAAAAACCATTAAATTAAAAAAATTAAGTATAAAAATTTATGGAATTATATACATGTTTTGTAAAAAATAAAAGGATTTTCTAAAAGTAGAAAAATTCAGTTAGAATGAATTGAATTTTTTAACACTTTTGAATTGAAAGAATTAAATCTCGGGAATTAATAAAGGAAATCGAACAAAAATTTCAAGCAACAAATGGAAAAGTAAGTGCTTTTTAGAAAATATAAAAGCTGCTATTTAAAAATACATAGATATATATACCACAAAAAGACTTTTTTCAATTGTTAAATAAAAAAAATATTCTTTCGCATACTGTTACGAAATAAAAACAGTGTTTAATTGGAAATTTATTAAAGAATTTGATTACGAGAAAAATCATTCGACACTTAAAAAGAACGTAAGGTATATAATATATTTTCAGCACTTGTTATTCTCCATTTCTATTTAAATTGCATTTTGATATTCGGCTTCCATAGTAACCCGAAATAAAGAGAATTATGTAGGTGGAACAGGGGGTGTTAGTTTGATTAGAAAAGAATGAAATTGCACTCTCTCGGTAATAGAAATTTGGAATACCATTTTCTTCTTACTAACCAGGCATCGAGCAATGGAAAATATTTCATAACTGTTACTTTAAAGTGCCAGACGATTTTTTTCGTTATTAAATTCTATAATAAATTTTTCCTTAACATGATCTTAGCACTGAGAACTGAGTAACATGTTCATACTATGATCTCAGTACTAAGAACATATTTTAATTCAAAATTTTAAAAAAATCGTTGTAATATTATTTTGCTTTCAACATTTAGAAGCTTCAACATTTTCCTTGAAAAGCACTTACCCTTTTACGTAATACCTAACATGTTTGTTCAATCTTTTTAACAGTGGCTTAACACATAAAGGCCTCTTTAATGCATATAGTTCAATAAAAATATTGTTTCCTTTCGTTTTTTCCTGTTAATTGTGACTCCAAATGATGACTAATTTAAAAAAAATTTAGGTAGCTTTTTGGAAACTTAGCTCTAAGTACAAGTTTTAGATTTTTTCTACGCCTAGGCAACCCTTCGAGACACAAACTACCTATTTACATTATTTATGCGATACATGATTTTAAGAAGATTATTAAAATATTAACACTATCACGATATTTAGAGTCAATGCTTGAAAAGCGATGCAAAAATCTTTTGATTAACCCTTTCGCGCCGACTGTCACAAATACGTGACAGCAAAAAACCGTATCAATCAGGGTAAGAAGATAAAACTGGTAATCAAAGTATTTCTTTAGCAGTTTATTTGTGGGCGGAGTTATAATTTTTTGATTTATTTAATTCACCATTACTTTGTTCAAAATAAAACTATTTAGTTATACTTTGAATTAACGCTGATTATATATATGATTAAACTAACAATAATTAAAATAAAAGCAAAGTAAGTCTGTCAAATTAGTAACGACTACATTTAAGTTACCGTTTTTTATTTAATTGCAACTTGATTCTGATTTTGTACGAATGCTTTTCTGAATCACCCGTCCCCAAGGGGTTAAGTTAACATTAAAGAATATGTTCGATCTGAACTACTTAGTAAAAATATATATAAAGTTTTCAAAAATGTTTACTACCAATATTTAAACAAAGAAATTTTAAATAAATACACAATATCAGTCTTGTCTTGATGGCTGTGAACAATAGTCACATACAGTTAAATGAGTGCTAACAATAGTTGGCATCATGGGTGAAAGCAAGACCGTTTCAGTTATAACTAGTTTTCGGGAGGAGTAAATCTATTCGCTTTTTTAAATTCTTTAACAGTACCAACTTTTTCTAAGACGACTATGAACTGGTAATTGACAAGGTACCTGTTCGCGCTAGCGGGCACCAAACCATTTAGTCTTTAATTCAGAGATGCCAACTTGCTCCGGACAGCAAATATATATTTTAAAGTGGTAGTTTATCAATTGTGAATCTTGCTTTAAAAGATTCATATTTAGTAGACTTTTATCCATTACTATTTCTAAATAATTAATAAGCTTATATAATTCATCACTTTATACGACTTATGTCAAGCTATACTTTTTAAAAAAGCAAGCAGAAATAAGCAAAATTTACTTTGTAGTTATTTACCATTTTTTAATTATTTTGGAATGTCCGGAGCAGTTGACATCTCCGTTAATTTGCCCTAAGGCAACTGGTACTTTTGGCATAGATAAATTAGAGGAAATCAAGGCTCTTGGTGGCTGGGTAGCATGCTATTAGGTTAAGATAATATTAGATAGAGTATATATTAACTTAATAAATAAATTAATATGGTACATTTAATTAATAGAGTAATGATACGTTAAAATTAACATAGTCAGGGGAACAATTAAGTTAATATCTAAAGGTGGAGTACTACAGTTCTGAGAATCACCTTTGTTCCTTTCCCCTTCCCAGGAGTATCCATAGTAATAATAAAAAGGGGGGGAGCTTATCTATTATATGTTTTTATAATATCCCATCTGAAAGCAGGAAATTAATGATTAGGTTATAATATCTGCTGTCGTGATGAGCTCTTTGTTCAGAATTAAGTTAAGTTTGCTGTAGTGGTATTTTTTGCATTGTAGAAGAAGCTGGCACTCAGTTTGTTGATAAATTCTCTCACAGGGTCGATGTTAAGATCTCTTCTGATGTATTTGCTTGATATGTGCCAAGGGGCATCCGTGTTTACTTTTCTTGGAAAAGAAGCTGGATATTTTGGTTGTCTCGGCGTTTTGCGCGAAGCGCCACTATCCGATTCATCGAATCTGTTTTGTCGTATTCTAGGAGGTCCTAAATATCATTGAAGTTGTAGTATGTTGTAACAACAAATCAAGTCCTTAAAGAAAGAAATCTTTAGTTTTGAAGTGAAAATCATCTTTGGAATGGGGAGATCCCCTTGAGTAGAGTTGTATGAAAGTTAATAGTATTTTGATAGTATGCAGTCTGAGCGTAAAAGGCGGTAATTGGGCTGAAATTTGAATTATCCCGGATTATATCAATATCGAACAACTTATTTAAATCTGATGTGGTGTATTTTTTTGCATCGCTATAAAATTTTGTGATCAATTTAGCTATAAAGCAATTGATATCATCAATGTTTAAGTCTTATCTGAGTAATCTATTGCTAATCGCCCTTGGGGCGCCAGTCATTGTTCGTAAAAATTTACCTTCAGTTGTGGATAACTTCTTTTTTAGGTTGTTGCTTATAGTAGTGAGGACTGTGCAAGCATACGTAAGAAATGATCGAATCGCTTGTATATAGATAGTTCTTTTATTTGATAGATCAAGCTTTGAATTCTTATGCAGGAGAACTTTGAGCGCAAAAAACGCTCCTCTGGCTCTTTTGATTATGTCGTTTAAGTGAGTGCTCCAGCTCAAATTATATGAGATCGTGACGCTGAGTTATTTAACGTGTTTCACTGGTTTAATCTCATTGTTAAAGAGATAGATGTGGGGAGTATTTTGTTGTTTTTCTTACTATTTATGATTAACCCGTTTTGTCCCGAATTTATATATTGAAATCATGCAAAAAGTGGCTTTATGGAAAAAATGGTGCAATACATTTTCGAAATTAAATGTTTTTTCTACTGTTTGGGGATTTAAAAAGTCTTTGATTGATCAAAAAGTACTTGTTCCTTATAATTCTAGATCTAATCAGAAATAACTAAATCATTGTGGTATCTGAGAATCTTTTAATTCACCCAGATAAATGAAAATGCTGAAAATAGTTTCCCACCACAATGAAAGTTTTTGAAAAAAGGAACTGTCCTAAATATATGACGCTGGGCGTTAACCGGTTAAGAGGAAAAGAAGCAGTTTTTTATATATTTATATACTATAATTGTAAAAATAAAATCTCGATAGTTACAGAATTAAATGCCTTGCCACTTTTAGTTCTTTTCCGTCTTGGTGTATATATATAGGCTTCCAGCCCTGATTGGCATGTATCATTTATAACAAGCTACTGGTTCGTGACGTGTCTATTAATAACTGGTAGCAACACTATTTCTAGATTTTTTTAAAAAAAAATGAAAAGCATTTATTATCGTTAATTAAAAATTTTGTACTTTTAATGTTAGAAACAGTCCGGTATACATGTATTAACTTTGTTAGATATAGCTAGTCAATCACCTTTCTCCCCTGAAATCAAGGTTGGTATAAACTGGTTTTGCTACCAGTTTTTTCAGTTTTCCGGGCACAAACAGCTTTTATCAAGCATTCCTTACGAATAAAAATAAAAGTATGCTGCTATCAGTCTATTTCAGAAAGAGATAACAAATTAAAAACTACCACTCC